CTTCCAGATGCCGGTAAGTGTAGCCACTTCCATGCATCTAAATGTGCGATGTCTGGAATACCATGTTGCTGCATATATGCTCTAGAATTTGGTATCTACTTTTGAGCATTCCCTGTAGACAATTGACAGCATAGAAGCTTGTGCGAATCATTTCTCTTGCTAATCCTAGATTATGAGTACAACTTAGTTTACAAACTACTTCATTTCTACTTAAATAACAGTTCCTACTGTCTTTTTGCCTATAGTTGCGTACAAGGTTGTTTGAATGCATTATTATTGTAGTTTAGGATTGTCTGCAATTTCGATTGCGGCAAAGGGTGGCTGGTTTTGAGCTGGTGTTACTGCTCAGTTCAATTCCTTGCCGATATTGGCATTAGCCTTTAGGTTTCAAGTACTAAAGGACATGACTGGTTTTGGTGGCCATATGGCCAAGTAAATTGATTGGTGATTTACACTGATTACAGTCTATGCACAAGGGGGATCAACATCATCTGATTTGAGTAGCAATTAGGGAAATTATGTGCAAAGCACAAGTAGCTTCTGCCCAGCAATTTATTGAAATCTATATTCGGGATCAAAATACAGGATTCTTTTTTGTTTTTTTTTTTTGGGGGGGGGGGGGTTGTGGGAGTTGGCGTTTTCCTGCCTTGATTTCATAGTGGTTAAATGTTTTTCTGGAAAATCTGTAAGGCAAGAAACGCTTTACAAACTTCACCTCATCCCCTTCATTGGCGAATGTCAGCCATATAATTTACCTAGAATAGAAAAGACGCAAAAGAACATAGCTGCTGCCTGCAGTGAAAAGTGTAACCACCTATATTAGCATACTAAGTGAATGAACTTCTATTGTTGCTCTTTGCTCACCAGTAAATGTGTTTTCAATTTGTGACAGCGTAATTAATGCATTTTTTCCCAATAAGCGTAACTTTTACATTTGTAAATCCTGATAAATTTCATTTTGCAGGAGGGTTTTGCCTTTAGTATATATCCTTTTGAGACTTCAGGTTGACATTTTTTTTCATTTTTCTTGGTTGGAGAGCTTTAATGTGAACTTGTTCTTGTAGAGGCTCATTATAGAATTCATGTATAGCATTCTGTGAAGGCAATCTGTCACACTTGAGATGTTTCCATGGCTTTATGGGAATCAGAATTCCATGTGCTTGAGAATATATCTGGCTTGGTCATAAATCTTTTTTGATGGATGATGCCTATCGTAGAAAATTTAACCCAATGTCAAACTAGTTTTTCTGCAATAATGCCAATTGATAGAAAAAGATGCAGAATAGTAGCTGGTTAACTTATTGCAAATTTGTAGGCTGCAAATGTTAGTAAATTAACTGTTTATGTTTTATGGTATATGGCTTTTACTTTATGTAGTCTAAGGTGCATTTCAAACCAGTATTTACATGCATAATTTTCTTTCCAGTGGTATGGAACCCCTGGGATAGGAAAGCAAGAGCCATGCCTGATTTTGGGGATGATGAGTATAAGCATATGTTGTGTGTTGAGGCTGCTTCTATTGAAAAGCCCATCACATTGAAACCTGGTGAGGAGTGGAAAGGAAGACAGGAACTTTCCCCTGTACCGTCCAGTTATTGTAGCGGCCAACTTGACCCACAAAGAGCACTGCAATCTGGTTAAAAGGCTGATCACTGTGTCATGTCTCTTGTACAGGTATCTCTCGGAAAGGACCAATAGAAATCAGATTCTGTGTTCTTACTTGAATTTATTTCTGAACTAATACCCATGTAAAAACAATATGCTAAGAAAGGCTTCTTGTAGCTTCTCTGTCCCAGCAAATGTGGTGGCATTCGGTCATTTAGAAATTATAAGCGGCATGTGAGTTCACTATAAGATTTAATTGTGAACATGGGCACATGCAGAGTCACTTGATGATATCATGCATTTTCTAGTTTGACAACTTTTTATGGATTGTTGCAGGCACTCTCTACATTCTGAATTGGTGCTTTTGGCGAATTAATGCCAGTGTTTTTCTGAGGGCAAAGTCATCGTTCAAACTGTTCATATTTCATTGGAGCACCCTTTTCATTGATTCCTAAAGAATGGAAGATGCAGCATTACTGGGCTTGGTTTAATTATGTAAATTTCTAGGTCTTCTTTCTGGAGGGGAAAAACAATATGAGAAAGTCCTGGCTGCTACTTCTTTTGCTTTCTATTTTCCTTTTTCCTTTCCAAAGCTGATTGTAATCTTCCTTTCGCAAATCTTGTCTCCGTTTACAAGGAACTCCTTTCTGTTCCTTGGCATTCTGCAAGCACACCCTAGCAGTTTTATTGTTCCTTCACCTGATATATTATATGTTATAGCCTCTTTCATAAACAATTTTTTGTGTGTTGGTGTTACTATGATATTTGTGGCGTGATGAAGCCTTTGAAATTGTCATTAACTCTTCAACCGAGACATTGATGATTATCCTACGATTCAGAGTGGATGTGCGTGTGCATCCAGTTCAGTATCTGTCAACGGCATCTGAGATGATCGTGCCCAGGTGAATTCTCTCTTCTTCTTTACTTATAGAAAAAAAGGGCGAGAGGGGACAACCAGCGTAGCTGCCTTTCTTTGGGGGTTATTCTGATGAATAGCCTTGAGATTGTACATAATGCTATTAGTTGATGTTGAATCTTTTTCGCTGCGGGTGGTGTTTGTATCTTTGAGATAAGCTAAATGTTCTCAGCGCCTTGGCGGCTCCTTGTGGCTTTTGTGCGACTTGTGACACAAAGGTCTGAGCATCGGAAAAATTGGCAAACTCAAATTTACTGATTCGATTCGGCTGCCTTCTTTGCTGGTAAAACATGTTGTATCGACCATTTGTGCCGAGCAGCACCCTTCTCTGCCTAGGCCGGCATTTCAGCATTCACAGTTGTCTCTGTCTCGGAGGAGGATAATAATCTTAAGGGACCGGAGAAGTTGGAAATTATCTAGTTTCGAATACGAAAATGCTGTTGACAGGTGGGCTACTCAATCGCGAGTTCGACTCTCGTTTTTTTCGGGTTGACCTAGTTCTTCGAGTTAATTGCTTGTGAAGCATAGTTCGAAGTCCTTTCCGATTAGTCATTGTATACCTCATTCAGAATCACGCCCATTGGCTTTGTTTGTACTCGAGTTGGTCTGAGCGCGACAACGAAGACAATCTATCTCGGACATCTGCACGCTGCGGACCGCCTCCAGACCCGAATTGGCCACTTCATGCCTCAAGTGGACCAACATCGTGGTACCAAAGGGGGTGAGAGCCTGGAACAACGGGCTATTATTACAGACAGCAATGGACTACCTTAACTTTGATATCTAAAGATTAATTCGACGGCTTCCGTGGAGTTAATAGCTGCAGTGCAGTGCAGCTTAGCTTTGAGACCGCCATTGCTCTTCAAATGGGATGCGCCTCTGCTCGAACGAGGGTTGCACCTGGCTAAATAGGTAGCAGCAGGAGGAAGGAATAGGATCTTCTTCAAGCCTCCTAAATGAGGATTGTCTACCGATCGCCGCCGGCAAAGGGTATTGTCCCGTCGGCCGTGGCGGCCGGTCCGACGACGACGACACGGGCCGCCAAAGTTAGACGACCGAATGTTTCCTTCGGATCAGCAGGGTTTCCCGCGTGTTCGAACGACGATGCTAGCAAGTCATTTTCCTGGACGCTTTCACCCCAAAAGAAGAAACTGTCCCTTTTTCAAATTTGCCAAAAAGGAAGGGGGTATAAGTAATGTTTCTGACGGACGTGGGAACGCTTCTGGGGGGCAAAACAATCGTCGAGTTTTTCTCCGGCGGCCGCCGAGGAGGGTGTCGGAGGATCGTACGCACTGCCAAACTAAAAAACACACGCGCACTCGCTCGCGGAGATGAAACGGCCACGCGCCGTCTGCTCGCGTGCAGCACAGCTCTCCCCGAACCACCGGTCCGAAGCCAAAGCTGCTTCGGGGGGGGGTTCCCATTTTCCCCGCACGCGAGCGGGAGGGCGCGCGTGAGGGGCGCTCGCCGTCTTCCCAGAGGAATTAGAAGTTTCCAAAACCCCCTGCCCCCCCCCCCCCCCCCTCCCCCGAAATTTTATAAAAAAAAAAGGAAAAAAGAAAAAAAAAAAGGGGGAAAATTGAAAAACCAGGCCCCCCCCCACCCCACTAATTTTCCTCTGCACTGACTCATCAAGGCTAGAGAGAGAGAGAGTAGAGAGAGTAGAGTAGAGAGTGCGGGGGAGCAAATGATTCGAAGGTCAAAGCTGGCGAATTCGCAGAGAAACGCATACGCAAGCGCAGCCAATGCGCCTTGACCAAAGGGGAAGGAAGGAAGGAAGGAAGAAGAAGAAGAAGCTCCTTGCCCGGAAAAGAGCGAGGGATATTCTCTCTGTCTCCGTCGTGGCGCTGGAGGCGGCCCAACGCTTTCCCGGGTCGCTGCGATCTCCCGCTCTTCGTTTCCTTTAGCTGCTGTGTGACGCGGTGGCTCGGTCCAGCTTGCTCCCCCCCCACCACCACCACCACCGAAGCTGAGTTGTCTCCTCGATTCTTGCGTGGAGGAGAGCGCGGCGATCGTCTTGGGGCCCCGCTGAATTCCGAAGTTGCTGAGCATCTTGCGAGGTTGGGTCTTCGGTCGGTTCAGTTTGCTGCTGAAATTGAAGGGGGAAAAAAAGTAAAGAAGAAGAAAAAGAAGCCTGCTTTGGGTTAGTGGGTGTGATTGGTGATGAGATGTCCGTTTCGGGCGGGGTTCGAATACGATGGGACTGAGATTCGGAAGGGGACCGTGTTTGCCGCCAGGGGTCTCCAATTCTTGCTTAGAGATGCGTAGCAGTTCGCGTTTTAAATCTCCGCCCTAGTCGGGCGGATGGTTTGCTCTCTCCGGGTGCTCGCAAGATGTGATTTTTTTCCCTTTTGCACGTGCCGAGTCAAAACCCTAGCTTCGTTTGGGGGGGTTTTTCGTGTATGCTTGGGGGGGGGGGGGGGGGGAGTGAAGTTCGATTTGCTTGAACGCTGGTGATGCCCGGTTTTCTTTACTGAAAATGCAACCGCCGCCGAGTCGGCCCTCGCGTGTAGACCTGACCGCGCTGAAAGCACGGATTGTCAAGAGAATCGGGCCGGAGAGGTCGGGGCAGTATTTTCGCTATTTGAACGGATTTTTGAGTTTGAAGCTGAGCAAGGCCGAGTTTGATAAGCTCTGCTGGAAGCTTCTTGGGAAAGACAATGTTAGACTCCACAACCAGCTCATACATGCAGTTTTGAAGAACGCTCACGGGAAAGTCCCTCCACCATTGCTAAATAACGATAGGGATCTGTTGGGTACCAATGATGGGCCCATCCCCCTGCAGAATAAAGATTTTATTCCTTTTCCACCGCAAAGATCGCCAAAGGGTATCTCTGAGGGCCTGAACGGGATAGTTAATTTCGCCCCTCGTCTTCCGACGGCTGAGAACTGTAAGGTCAGTTTGGAAGATCAGAATCCTAATTGTCTGGCTTTACTGAAGCCGGTGCAGCATCATCAAGAAGCAGAGAAAGACATTAGACTGCCAATTACGAATATACCAAGGAGCGGTTTAGTCGGTGCAAGAACCAAGGACCAGAGTAAGCTAACAATTTCTAAATATGCAAAAGAAGTATGCATCAGACATCAAGTCCACGCTCCTCTGGGAATCTCACTCTGCCCTGCTAGGGCAGGTGGTGCCCAGAGAACCTTAGCACTCGCGAGCAATATTAGATGTTCAAGCTTTCGTGATGAAGGTGGGCTGCTAGATACCAAGACATTGAGAGACCGCATGCAGCAGGTTGCTTCAGCTCAGGGGCTGGAAGGGGTGTCAATGGACTGTGCGAGTTTACTGAATAATGGGTTAGATGCTTACTTAAAGGGGCTTATCAGGTCTTGCATTGAGGCGATGAAAACGAGATGTGGGGGTCGGTTGAGAAAAAGCAGTGTCCACATGAACGGCTTTTCAAAAGATAAAGTCATCTTGCCAAGTGATCGATTTTGGCTACAAAATGTTGGTAGGCCTTTAGAATTTAGGGAGGAAGTGAAACTCCCATTTGTCATATCGATGTTGGACTTCAAGGTTTCTATGGAGCTAAAGCCTCAGCAGCCTGGGGAAGACTGGCCATTGCTGCTAGAGAAAATATGCGCACGTGCATTAGAGGGCTAAAGTATCTGAATTTAACTCAGACGTCGCCCATTTTTGGCTTTTCAAAAGTGGCAGAAAGACTCCAGCATATTTGACAACCAGCTCAAATAATATCCATGCAGTGCATTGTTCTGCGTAGTCTCTTGCCCTCAGGATAAATCTCTGCTTTGATTTCTAAAAGAGGGTATGGGTATGAGATTGAGAGACTTCCTTCAATTGATGTTCTTACTGCCATGAGCCAACCAACTGTTTGGAAGACGAGGAAGAAACAGGAGTATTTATCTCTGGTGGCCCTCTTGTATCGGTAGAATTAATTTGCAGGTTTGATTTGTAACTCACAGCTTAGAGGAAGTTTTCAAGCAGTTTTGTACTAGAAACTTGTTTAGTTTTATAGGAAGATAAAATCCAGTGATGCTGAAGTTCATATTTACTTGTGTATTTACAACTCTGAATTTCTTCTAATTGTAACAGAGGTTAATTTTGTCATGCTTGTACGCCAGTTGTGGAACATCAAAATAATTGGCAGCTAGGCATTCATTTTTTTAAGAGAGACTTGAGCTCAGTTTGGGCTAACTCAGCTTGCAGTGCTCATTTTCTGGTAAATAGCTTTCTTTACCAATTTAAACACAACCATGCCCACCAAAAAAAAATAAAAATAAAATAAAAGAAGGAACGAAAGCAAAATCAGCACTTGTACTGTTGTGAAAAAAAGAAATCAGCACTTCTATGAAAGAGCAATTCAAAGCATTGTCTGAACTTTGTTTGTAAAGATCACTTCAATGTAAGTAAATTCTCTGGATTTAAGCGGCCTTTTATTATCTTGGACTTCTCTTTTTTGCATTTGTTGTCATATGGATCATGAACTGCTACCTAGCTCGATGTTGCACATGGTCCTCTTTGGCCATCCTTTCGTTCAGGTGTGAAAGTGAAATTGCATTGCGAATGAGGAGCATTATTCTCTGCACTTGACAAGGAACATGCCTTGTGTTTTTATGTACTAAGATTGCCTTAATCTCAAGGCACATGTTCTGAGAAGATAAGAGACAAGCAGCTTTTGGAGCTAATTAAGCTAATGAAAGTTATTAGACTATTTCGGTTTTGATTGTGTTTCTGGTCCAATACCATCATGTTCTTGGAATTGAATCTTGCTTGTGGGTCTCTTTTCTGGACAAGAAACTGGAATGAGAAAATGTAGTAAAGACCATAAGCTTCATTTACTTGTTATTTCCCTTGGTTGTCTCTGGTTCTGCTGATATATGAACATCATTGACAGTGAAAAGAGTGCCGAGATGCTTAGACCAGGGTAATCTCGTGATGTGATTGAGACTTACTTGGTGGCTGTCACCAGTGGAGCTAATTAAGGTATGAAAGTTATTAGACTATTTCGGTTTTGATTGTGTTCCTGGTCCAATACTATCATGTTCTTCTTGGAATTGAATCTTGCTTACATGTCTCTTTTCTGGACAAGAAACTGGAATGAGAAAATGTAGTAATGGCCATAAGCTTCATTTACCTGTTATTTCCCTCGGTCGTCTCTGGTTCTGCTGATATATGAACATCAATGACGGTGAAAAGAGTACCGAGATGATTAGACCAGGGTAATGTCGTGATGTGATTGAGACTTGCACGGTAATTGTTACCAGAATAAGGATTCATGATCCAGTTTTTAACAAATAGCTTCTAACTTGTGTTTTGCATGTGCTTGTCTCTGGAGATGAAATGGCAAAATGGTGATCAGAAGTTCAGAACAATGATTATTACAGGTTTACTCCATGGTAATGAATTATTGCATCGCTTCTCAGGTTTTTTTTCCTTATAGAGATGTAACTGTGCAGTCTTTTCTTTTGACTATTTACTATTTATGTGCTAAGAAGGCTTATTAGAGTGCTTGAAGAGCGAACGTCTGGTCATGCACGAACCATGTCTATGTTTCATACATCTACAACGCACTCTCAGGTTACTCATTAGCCCTGTCATTCATGGAGCTTTTGATGCCCTTGCTAGGTTGTCACTTCAGTGAACACTTTAACCAACTTTTCTGGTTTCTTTGTTCTTGTATTTGTCACTACATACAATTATCTTGAACTACATATTACTCTCTCCTTCCACAATGCGTTGACCAACAAGTAATCTTCAACGGAGAAAAAGTTGATAGCGTAGGAGGACATGGATTTTATGTGTTGGAAAGACCATCTGGAGTCTATCCCCTGTTATCTGGGTAGTATAGTCATGTCGAGTCGTAGAAAAGCATATTTACCCTTCTGCTAAAAAGACTTCTTGCTCTGGATATCATATCAAGAACAATAAGACTTGGTAATTGATTTTCCCAAGCAAACAGAACTGTACCATCGTTTCTTGTCGGGCTTGTACGAGATTTGGAGTCTGCTTCTTCGGCCAATAGACCAGGACTTATAATGAGTGGGCCTATGTACGATTAATGGTCTTCCTATGCATAAGCATTGATCATCTTGTTTCAAAAATGGATTTTGCTTTCCTTTTCCCCCTTTTGCTTCTTTGCCTATAGTCTGACATTTAGCCCATCTAACATCAGTTGCTTCTCGTGCAGTATGAGACTTGTTGCAGCAGATAGCCATTATAAGGCAGGACGTGCAAAACCTTTAAGGTGGGAAGTTTGCATCTTCTACGATGGGTATGTGACGAAAGCAAAACGTATTTACATGACTTTTCGTCGTTTGGCGTCACTATTTTTACACAACAGTAAAGGACATGTATTCGATAGCATCGTCTGTAGTTCACTCAGTTCTCGTTCTCAACACAGTTGCAATAGCTCTCTATACCATGCTACTGCAATGGTCACCCAATTTTATGGTGCGGATCTTTTTTTTGTTTTTTTCCTTATAGTTGGAGGATAGTATTACTAGGGAGTCACTGAATCCCAGCTAGGCACACCCATTTGGAGTTCTCTTATCAAGCATGGTCGGCGGCTAGGGATGCAGGCGCACTGTGGTTCGACCACACAAGAACCCTCCAGAAAGGCCGGTGCACCTTGCGCTTGGGATGGTTGGCCATCAGCTCCGTTTCCGACCTCTTCAGCATCTCCCACATCACCTGCACGTCTTGGTATTCGCAGGTCTGTACATCATCCTCTAGCTTCATATGTCCTGCACCTGAATCAGTCAAAAGAGTTAACATTCTTCTCTGTGATCCTATAGCCTCAAACCGTTAATTTCACATTCCCAGAGTTTGACTGAATGTGGGAAGCTCAATAAAAACCAAATTGCACCGCAAGTAAAACGAACGGTGGTCCTAACATGAAAAAGTAAGGCCGAGGACAAGGATGGCCCGTGTTTTGAAGTTTTTATATTGGTAAAGTTCGGTGAATGTATGGTGCTCTGAACCTGGTCATGAGAGATGCATGTAAAGTTAATGTGACCGTTAAAAGGTGTGGCAAAAAATGATGTCGCCGCTGATCCTAATCGCTGCTCTTTCCGTTCGGGAACAGGCGCGATTGGCGGTCGTGTATCGCCCCCACCAACATGGAAAGATCCTGAGAATTCTTAAGCGATGAGAACTAGAATCTTTCCAGGGGGGGTGTACTCAAATCACCAAAGTGAGGAAGTACAGTACATAACTTCATCCTCACGTGAAGCGAAGGGGCATGGTTCTTTGCTTCTTCTTTCGCACTTGACCATAATTCTCAGAGTGCCTAGAAAGCACAAGATTCGAGCAGAACTGTGCCCAAAAGAAAAGAAAAGAAAAGGGAGATCTTTGGGAAAGAGGGTGTTTGAGTAGAGAACGAAAGAAAGAAGACAGAGCACGACAGGTGAGAGATAAGAGGGAATATGGTGATGGGTGGCCCCGGCATATTCGGGATCGAAAAGAAAAGTGCGTCGGTCGGTGGAATTACGGTTTCTGATGATAACGCCCCGTAATTTCAATCCAGCAGATAAAATTAGAAAACTTGAGATGGGTTCCCTTTCCTTTCCGTCCCTCAAGAAACTGAGGAGAAACTAAGAGATTCTCCATTTCATTTCAGCCTTGAACTAATGATTTCCAAACACTCTGGCTGAAAATTGTTGGCTGTTTCATGTCATGTATGTACTTGGAAGCCAAAAATGGAAATCAGCATCCTCAGTCCTCACCTAGGAGGAATAAGAACTGCAGCTCTGCAGATTTCCATCATAGGCTAACCATGTGGCAATCTGATGGTTAAACTATGGCATAAATGAACACGCATTGAAGAAAAGAGCTGAATTCGAAGAGGTAGATGAAGTTTTCTCAGGCATGGATGATTCTTGGGGGTTGTTTTTTTCTGTTCTTTTTTTGGTAAGCCTCTCTCTGTCTCACACAGACACACAGTAAAAATACTGACAACATTCGCACAGATACACAGGGCAGGGGAGAGAGGGAAGAGAGAGAGAGAGAGAGAGAGAGAGAGAGAGAGAGAGAGAGAGAGAGAGAGAGGGAGGGAAATGGGACAGACCGTGGTTGCGAGCTTTGAGGCGAGCGGAGACGGAGAACCAAACACGTCGGACGGGGAAGACCATCTTGCGCCACCACTCCATCAACTTGTCCCCCGCTTTCCTCACCTTCTTCTTCGCCGATCTCCTGATCTTCTTCCTCCTCCTCCCCCCTCCTCCCCCTCCTCCTCCTCCACCTCCTCCACCACCACCGCCGGCGATTCTCACCGCTATCGTCTTTAACCCGGCCAGACCTCCTCCTCCTCCTTCTCTCCCCCACTCTCTCTCTCTCTCCCCCCTAACTCCACCTCCCAAGATCAGCAAGATTTGAAAAGAACCCACAAAAAAAAACTCCTCTTTCTTCTTCTGTATCTTACGTAGACACTGCCATAGAGAGAGAGAGAGAGAGAGAGAGAGAGAGAGAGAGAGTAAAAATGTGTGGGTGTGTTGTTGGGACCGGCTTTTTTTGATTTTGAGGTCGCACAACCTTATAGCAGCTGCTCTCTTTCTCTCTCTGTTACAACGTCATTTTCTGCACCGACACGTCACTTGTCCTCTCTCTCTCTCTCTCTCTCTCTCTGTATTAGGAGCTGCTGATTCTCAGTCCATCACGACGACTCCTCCCACCATTAAAATCCCTTCATTTGCGTACGTACAAATACAGTTGGCGACCCCAATACGTGTTAGGCTTGAGTTGACTCGACCCATCAGTTAATTCGTGCGAAAGACTCGGTTTTTCGTGTGAAGTTCCTCCTTTTACTCCTCCTTCTTTTTCGTGTCCTTTCCCATTTTCCATGACAGCACAGCAGGTTAAAAAGTCCCGAAACAGTGTCGGCAAACTTCAACGAGACGACGGTCTAGGATGAAGAGGGCGGTTTGACCCTTCGAAGTTTAAATTCGTATGGCCTTTCAAATTGAAAGCTTTAGGGGGAAAAAGTCGTCGCCTTTGCCCCTGAATTTTCTTAAATAATGACACCCTTCTTAAAGGCAGTGAAGTGTCGGCAAGGGTCCTAATCCACGTGGTCTAATGACCCCATCCGAACGTCGGATCGACCTCTCCGTCTTGTCCTGTTCTGTTATTTTCCTTGGAGGATTTGAGGCCAATTGCTTCTCGACTCATGTCGGTCGGCATTTGTCATCGGATGCTTCTCTCTCCCTTTACCTTTACCACCCCCCCATCTTAAAATTTTGCAGCAGACGCCCAGAACCAAAAGCGTTGCAGCAGACAGGTTTCCTCCTTACTGAAATGATTGTGAGAGACCAACGTGGGATGGATGATTGTGAAGACGGACAGAGGTGTGGATCGTTCGATACGAGGCGAGCACGTGTTTCGCGCGTTCAATGGAATTTTGACCCTCGGTTCTGTGTTTTCTTTGGGTACTTCCTTCGCATTTCCATGTAAAGCTCGCGTTCCAATATATGATAATTGGACAGGCATCTTCCGGAAGCGAAAAGAACAAGTTTACGAGTGGGGGAATTAAAGAGAGAATTTCCCGGCTGCCGGCTGATTGCTAAATCCAAACTAAACAAGCCGATAAGATAGTTGACCGAGCGGTTAAAGGGTCGCCTGTTTTTCATGTGATCACGAGCTCGATTGACGTCGCGGGTGGTGATCCTCCAAACGGCTAGAGACTTCCTAGATACCGGCATCTCGGTAGGGCTATGCCGCCGGGCTCTCGCACGTCTCGGACTTTAGGATCTCGGGCGGTGCGGAGTAGTTACGGCTCGATTCGAGTTATTCCGTGATGGGGATGTAGGGCGTGACGTCCGGGAGGAGGTGGCCAGGCCGGTTGCGATTCCCCGCCTTTCTCTTTAAACGAGACAAGAATCGGGGAGGGGGTTGGCATTGGCAAGGCCCCCCACGGAACGCATCTAAAATTCATCAGAAGGGACGAGTGCGGATGAACGGCGGAATCGATCAAAGTAAAAACTAAGAAGGGGGGAATAAGCGAAAAGATGGGGAGGTGCGCCAGTGGACGAGCTTTTTCTGAGCGTGTGTTTAGTGGAACTTCAACTAAACAAAGCGTGGTGGATTTGCACTCTTTTCAAATCCGGAAGGCTCTCGATTACACGCCAAACAATGTTGATGCACCCCACCCCCCCTCAAATTAAAGGCCCTACTACTTTTATTCCTTTTTTTTTTCTTACATGGGTACCGTGGACCGCCACGTTTGACGCGAATTGAGTATCGTAAAACGGACCGGACAAGTTGATATTTTTCGGTGCCTGTCGTTGGACATACTCGACGAGAGAGCGTTCCATATCTAAAGTACCGATTATAACTAAGGATGATCGGTTTCCGATCCAGTATTACCGGACCGGCAGAACTGGTTCCCAAAATTGAGAACCTCCTAGGACCGGGAACCAAACCGGACCAGTCTAATCCAATCACTTTTTTTTTTCCCACTACTTGATATCACATATTTTGAAATTAGAATTGTGTTCCCCATGCCGACTATACATATGTTTTAAAATTGGAATTATATTCGCCATGCCGATTATACATAATCACAACAAAAAAAAAAGTACATGTAGTCGGTCGGAAACCGGACCCCCCAGATACCGGTTCTATTTTTAAGAACCGGGAACCGGACCGACACTCTTGAGGGGCAATTGATTTGGGCGATCCGTTTTGCGCACCCCTAATTATAACACCGCGAAAGAAGGCTGTATGAAAACTTTTTTAACAAGAAACCCCATTAAATTATCGGACTTCGAGTATCGGGACACTGGAGATGAATGACATTTACCCCCTTCGCACATCAAAACAAAAATTTGAAATTTGCGAATTCACCCTTTTCTTTTTGGAATCATTTTTCAGGATCCAAAAGTGGGCACCACCCGCGGTTGAACACGAAATCGTTTCTTCTTCAGAAATTCAAAAACAGGGGACCCGACTTCTTGTAGTGGAACATCAATCTCTCCTCCTTTCTTCCTTTTTTTTTTGTTTTTTTAAATTATTTTTTTGGCCTTTTTCGATTTCTACATCGCTCGTGGCAGCGGTGGTTCTTGGCCAATAAATGTTTTCTTTAGAGCATCGTGACAATATCATATAATATATATATATACATGTAGTAGTGCTATTCCATTGTCTCTTCTTGTTTGTAATGATTAGGAAATTGTCAGTATATTTTTAATTTATAATATTAATTAATGTGGGATCAACTTGGTAATTATTTCCCCCACGGAAGAACATTCAAAAGGCAACTCCGGCCCCCAGTACGACATTCCCAACGTCACGGATCTCGTCATTCCTTCCATCATTTTCTTGCCCTGGAAGATTTGATATAACCCTAACTAACCTCTGCTTTAGAGTTTTAAAGAGGGCTTAATGATTTTTTTCATTGCGTTACACGACTCGAAATATCTCGTTAATTTTTTCGGCACGAGCTTATAATTATCGGTAAAAGTTGTTGTCCAGTAGCCCCGCATAGTCGATGCCCTCGACTTTTAAGTGATTCGGGAAATTACGACAATCGATGGACACCTGTTAATGAGTGCCTCGACCACTCGTTCAGCACGGCTCATCATGATTATTCCTATTTTCCAAGCATCGATATCGAGTGACGCGAGGGGAAGAAGTTATACCGATAGTCATAAGCTTTCTTAATTCGATTGCTTAGCATGAATTACAGAGGCACGGATTAATCAATTCATCAACCGAAACGCTACAGGGGCACCTGAAAAACAGCAGGTGGGGTCACCATCCAAGACCTGACCGCATTGCTACTTTGCTGCTGCTGGGGCACCCCAAACTAATCAGAACTTGGAGAAAAGGAGAAAATTCCTCCTTTTCACAGGCAGCACCTTTCCTTGTCAAGATCCACTCCCCCCACCCTCTAATCCACCACCAATAGAACAAGATAAGAACCGGCCCCGCTAGTGCCTGTCTTCCTCATTTCAGATACTCGCAAATTCTTCTTTTGTGTCTTTCCTTTCACAGTTACAAACCCAAGCCACCAGGTTCTGGTCATGACCCACAGCAGTGATTGCGACGCTCCTTTTTAGTCCGAGTATCGAAAGGAGCGGACGGTTCTCTTTCTTCCCCTGTTTTTCGGGCTTCAAAACGTCTGATTTTATGCTAGTTTTGAAGTTAAGCACTGGGCTCCAGGAGAGGAGATGTGGCTCGTTGATGATGACAAGGGAAAATTTTGGTTCTGAGCCAAATGATCACTGGGGTGGCTGTGTTTCACACGGGTCGCTGCAAAAAGTCACAAATCTAATGAATTGCCATATCAAAACTTTCGCATTTTCACATATTAACAAGAGAAATCCCATTTCCACCGAAGTACTAGCTATTTTGTTTAGCGCTGCAATTGGGTCCTTGGTTATTTGCATGACGTGAAGAAAATGAGGCTGAAGGAATGTAAGAACGAAGAAAATCTCTCAACTTGACCTGAAGAAACCTTTCTTCCCCCTTGTTTATAGCATTACTATGCGTGGGCTTAGTGGAAGAAGTCCAGTTCACATGTCGCTCCCTGTGGTGGAAGATTGATGCTCCAATACCGTAGAAGCCCATTTCGCCAAAATACAGACCCAATGTGAAACAGGTACCGGTTATATCATTAAACAAATTGTTGTAAGAAAATCATGACGAAAGATGCTTGGAAGATAAGGACTTCCCACAGGCATCTCATACATCACACCAAACTAATTAAAAATCGAAGCAAGCAGCTTGTAGCGCACATTCAGGGAATACTTGGTCGTTTGGCATTATCCAGTTTTGAGTGCTCCAGAGGAGGTAGATGGCAATTTGAGAAGAAGGAACAGCTAGTTCAGCAACCCTTCTAGCAAAACTGCCAGTTACTTCACTACATCATCCGCCCCTGATAATGAAGTCTGTAAAGCAAACTAATTTGGCTCAGTTCTTCTATTCTGAAACATTCATTCTTTCGGGTCACGATCACTCCGGGGCGGAATCTGCACGAAAGGGAGACGGACTTATTGGCCTAACGCATGGCACTACCGGTTCGCCTCTTTAATTTGCTTTCCCAGGAGAGTTTCAAACATCGGGCATTTTAAGAGAAATTGCAAGCTAACTGGTGAGTTTGTCACTGTCATGCAGTTCAGTTGCATCAGCAGCGGTTATGGAAAAGGCAACGGGAACATTTTCCAGCCTTAGTTGCTCACTCAAAGAATTGTCACGAAAGATGAACTGGCATCTTTTTTTCAGCTCGGGGGTATTTCATGTGACAAGGATCACACATGTTCCTCAGCATAATAAGCAAATCCTGGTATAACGGCCCATCGTTTGATCTTGTTTCCTCAACAAAGTCGAAAATATGAAATTCGAGTGGAACAAATTGACATGGAGTTGTTCATACAGGAGCAGTTTCCATGTCTACACACAAGAAAAGCCAGCAAACTCCACTATTTCCAGAAACTCCACTATTTCACTTAAAACGGCATTTCATAGCACAGCATTGGATGTTGAATTGTCACCTGCATTTCATTTGTTTTCCTGTTTATATCCTGCCTTCTTCTTTGAAAGGCCACAGATATAAAAACCCAAATGTTCTGCCTAAAGCAAATAGTCGAATCAAGTCACCTGGTTAAGGCAAATCATTTCCACAAGCTGCGAAAGAAAATCATTTCCATGAGGATTGACTTGAGCAATCTTTATGAGCCTGAAAAAGCTAGTTCTGGACATATTTACAACAGGCCAGGGGAATCAATGCTAAACCCCCCAAAAAAGTTGGCATCGCCTAGCTATTGAACTTGCTGTTCAATGCATCATGCATCCTATACAACTAACAAAAATTCCCTCAAACCTCTGATGGTGTCCCCAAAATTCCACCCAAGTTCAAGTACTTAGCTCACTGTCATATTTCCCATGCCACGTCTTCCACAAGGCATTCGAATCAAGCTGCAGGAGCAACCAAGATATCTCTTGTTTAGACGCAGAGGGCCAAGAACCTCCACACCAACATTCTATCAAAACTTTGGCCTGCTGGTGTACATATGGTGCCACGGAGAACATCAAAGCAAAAGAATAAGAAAAAGTAAGGATGGAGAAGACACTCACTGCAGTACCCACATAGGCACAGAATAGAACCGATTTATGGATTGAAGAGAATCTCGGATGCTTCCCCCTTTTTTCCCATTTAAGCCTTATGTGATGTGTCCATGATGATGATAGGGCGCACACACACACACACACACACACACACACAGCCTCTCACAGGAAAGAAAGAACCAAAAATACGTGCATTAGTAGCGTCCTAAGCCAAATCTAATCTTTTCCCACTCCTGAAAATGTCCCATAAGCTGAAATAGCCGCAATTATTCGAAGTCCCATTCTTGCAGAAACATATCCCACCACAGAACTTAGCCAAGAATAGCAAAAAAACCAGTGCACCCCACCAAGAAGAAAGAAATCCCATGCCTCGTGACTTAATTAACATCTAGTTACAGAGCATTGCACGGAAAAAAGCCAACTTTTTTTGCTATCTTTCCCTTCGCACTAAGCACAATCGAGGGTTGGCACTCGGCAGCGACAATAAAAGACCAAACATAGCAAACAGATTTTCCTTTACTGGTAAGCATTGCTGCATTGCATTCCATTATGAAAGAAGGACGTCAAGATCAAGAAGAGACATCGATACTGTAAGTTTCTGAAGCTTTTTCTTGACACCACACCCACCATCTAAGCCCAACTTTTTCTTCTCCTCTCCTCCTTAGAAACACCAAACCCCAATGATCATATGAAAATCAAAAACTACAAAATGAAAAGATCCCAAGAACCAATAATTAGCAACTAAGGCAATAGAAAAGAAAAGGAAGAAAAAGAAGGAAAAGAACCAGCAACTAAGATGATGAGAATAGAGGTGGAGGTGGAGGAAGAACTTGGTGATGCAGCCCCTGATTGTGGTTCAAAATGAAAGGGTGCCTCAGCAGCTGGTAGGCAGTCCACCGCTGGGCCGGGTCGCGCTGCAGGCAGCACGCGATGAAGTCCCGGAAGTCTCCGGAAGCAGAGGCGGGGGCCTCGGGGGGTTGGGACATACAGATGGCGCACATGAGGCTGGCCCAGTCGCCCTGGCGACTGACGGCAAAAGGGAAGCGCCCAAGGTAGAACTCGAGGATGCTGACGCCGAAGCTCCAGATGTCGCCGGCGTAGCCGTTGTACTTGCCGTGGTTGAGGTCGGTGTTGATTCGCTCGGGGCTCATGTAGGCGATGGTGCCGACGGAGGAGTTGCAGGGGTCCATGGTCTGGGAGAGGATGCGGCTGACGCCGAAGTCGGCGATCTTGACCTGCTTGCGCGAGTTCACGAGGAGGTTCGAGGGCTTGATGTCGCGGTGGACGATTTTGCGGCGGTGGAGGTAGGCGAGGCCGCTCAGGATCTGGTAGGTCAGGTGGCTGAGGTGGCTCTCGTTGCCGACGTGGATGCCCTCCAGCGACCCGCCGTCCATGAACTCCAGCAGCACCTGGATCTCGCCGCCGTGGTCGTACATGTCGTGGCACTTGACCACGTTCGGGTTGTCCACGTCCCGGAGGATCTCGATCTCCCGGCAGATCTGGCGGCGCACCGCCTCGTCGTGGTTGCCGTAGATGACCTTGAGCGCGTAGGGCCGCCCCGTCGGCCGGTGGACCACCTTGTACACCGTCCCGCCGCTCCCGCTCCCGATCCGATTCACCCGCTCCAGCTCCGAGAAGTGCATCTGGTGCTGCTGCTGCTGCGCCGCCCCCGCCGCCGCCGCCGCCGGGGGCGGGAAGGCGTTGTTGAGGTGGTTGCCGACGGAGCCGCCGCCGCCGCCGCTACCGTTGTGGTGGTTGCTCGTGGACGGCGCCGAGCTGGAGGGCGGGAGCGGGAGGGGGACGGCGAGGGCCGGGTCGCGCTGCGGGAGCGGCAAGGTGAGGTCGGGCCGCCGCCGGGGGCGGCCGCCCCTGGAGGAGGAGGAATTGGGGGTGGCGCCGGGGGGCGGTGGCTGAATCGGCTTCATGGCTCGCTCCAAATCTCTCTCTCTCTCTCTCTCTATATCTCTCTATATATCTCTTCCTGGAACCGGGTGGAGCGATTCTTGTTTTTTCGGGTCTCTCTGCTTGTCGGAAAACGAGCACGAGGGCTTAAAGAGCGGCGAGCTGTTCGTCTTCCTCCTCGTCTCTTGTCGGGTCCGCGGAGTTCACGAGCGGTGGGTGCGCGGGGTTCCGAGCGGAGGAGTCATCCATGGATGGATGAATGGATGGATGGATGGATCGAGAACGACGGAGAAGAAGATGATGATGATGATGATGACGACGATGACGATGACGAAGCAGAAGGAGGAGGAGAAGAAGAAGAAGAGGAGATCAAGAGGAGATGACAATCCTAATAATCTCCGATTCTTGGAAAAAAAAAGGGCTTTTCTTTTTGGGCAGAGAGAGAGAGATGTGAAATGTGTCTATTTTTTTATTTTTATCGATTATTTTGTATATTTATACGTTGAATTTTAAATAAAGTAAATAATATTTGGGTGAGAGGAGGAGGCTGATGAAAATGGACAATGGTTTTTTTCTGGTTTTCTTTTTTTTTTTTGGGTTCAGAAAATGGAAAAGGGTTGTAGCCCCCCATCATCAATCATAAGACGGGTGGGGGAGAATCAGAGATTTTTTTCCATTTTTTTTCTGGAAAAAAAGAAATAATTGGAAAGTGAAAAGAAGAGAGAGAGAGGGAGAGGGAGAGGGAGAGGGGGGTGGCGGGGGAGCGCGCGTGGAGGACCAGCGACGGGCGCGTGTGGGGGTGGGGGGTGGGGCCCGCCGGGGCGAATGGGGGGAGACGTCGAATGCGGGTCGTTGTCTCTTCGGCGGTCGCGCGTGGCTGCCAAGCGCGTGTCGCCTGGGAACGTGCGGAGACAATTTGCTTAGGGTTCGGTTCCCCGGATTTTAATGACTCGCGGGAATTAGCCCGAAAATTTAATTAAAAAAAAAAGAAAAATCTTGCAATTACATCCCTCGTATTTCACGCCCTTCGTTTTTATGTCCATATGTTTTTATTTTTATTTTTCTGGTAACAGTGAAGATAAAAACGAGTGTAGTGAAAGTTCTAAAAGTGCAATCAAGAGGGCGTTCGTTTAGCGTAAAATAAATAATTTGTAAAATATTATCTAAAAAATGATTACTTATATCGTTTGGAAAAATTAATTATTGAAAAATATTTTCACCATCGATAATATTCTATATCTAATTATTTTCACGAGCGATAAAATTTTTTTCCATTCATTTATTTTTTTAGACGATATAAACGATCATTTTTCAGAAAATATTTTCTAAATCACTCATTTCCCTTAAACGAATGTACCTAAGTCCTATAATTTATGGTATCAATAGCGGCAGCCTATTTTACTGCGATTGTGTTATTTTAGAACCATAATGCTTTTTTCAGTTGTGAACATACATTTTCCAGGCTTCCTTGTCTTGCCATATACTTGAAACTGAGAAATTGACAAAGATATTGATCTCATCGAGTCGATTGAATGGAAAAACCAGTTGAATCATCCAATTTTTCTTATCGTACCGATGAACAAAAAACGATGATCATAATTTTAGTAATCCGTTATTATTTCCCACCAAACTATTTAATGACATGAATAAACAAAACCAATCCCCAACTCTAAAGTAGCTCCACCAAATACAATCGGATTGGTGACCTTGGTCCACAAATAGCGCCACCTCGGTGCTCAGGCCCGAAACCCTATCGGCCAGGCCCCACACCTCGCCTAGGTCCTCAGAGGTCAGCCTAGATCCCCCAAGCCTGGGTCATATCTTTTGACGCCAGTCCTGGGTTTTAGATGCCGGGTCCATACTCTCCTGCCCGACGACCCTATTAGGGGGGTGGTGGACACGCCCCCGATCCCCTAACACCAAACCTATAGTTTTGGCACCTACACATGGATTTGGGATTGTACTAAGAGATTTTTTCTCGAATGTGCTTATCGTAATATTGTAGTACAAAATATTAAAGATATTTTCCACCATAGTTTCTTTTCCGTGAAACAAACTGTGTCCTAAGCCTCGTATTATTGTGTTTTTGCTTGAAGAGAATAAGCAGTGAGATCTCTATCGTCTCTCACTCAAGAAGGGTAAAGAGATCATTTCTCTCTTATGTTACTTTGAAGACCCTCAATCTTCATTGACTTCATGTAGGAAGTCTCCTCCATTGTTTGACAGCTTACTGTTGAATTATAAACATATAAATGGTGAAGACCAGATCTATTTGGGAGCTTAACTTCAGTACTAGTTCCAATTGTAACTGGGAGAGGATCTTGCAGACCGCTTCAGTTACGCAGTCAAATTCTGGTTCAACACGTATTCTTTCCTTTTCTCGAGTAGTCTTCTGGTGCTGGCGATTTCCCATGCAAGGGAAGCATAATAGCTCGCATTGAAGATTATCTTATTTGGGCGAACCAGTCTTCAGTTTTACTCGGCCCTCTTTTGCTTGGTGATGGCAAGTGATGGGTATGGCTGTGACGAGGCAGACTCCGATGCTTGGGATGACAATTTGGCCTCCCAGCAGAGGATTTTTACTGCTCATCTGAGCTTGGTTGGATCTTCTTGATGAACTTTTATGTAGTTCATTGCTGGGAAGAATTCGTCTGAGACTCCATGTCAAGTGTGTTTGAGAGTGATTGAATATCTTCTGAATCAACTCAGGGTTTGCAATCAAAGTTTCAATCCCTTACATAAGTCTCCTGAGACTATTTCAAGACGAGTATAGAATGTTCTCTCGATTTACTTGTTAAGCATTATTAAATGGGTTGTGTCAATTTAGAAGTTACTATTTGAAGTAAGCGATTTCATTGAGACGGGAAATTCTCCCATTTTCAAAGTGTCTTGAAATGTGATATTTTCACTTTTGATTAGCTTGACTAGTGTTCTAGAATTACTTGCTAACAAAATTCTTAACCTTATCTAGTCGTGACTTTTTCTACCGTATTTTAAGAACGAAATTACTTGATTAGGTGTGCAATGACAGGGGGATGCAACTTTCTTAGTCTTTATTTCTAAATTTGAGCGGTGATACCCTAAAATGATGGAGGCTTGAGGTATGATGGGATAGGTTACAAGATGTGGTTCCCTTAGAAATGTACTGAAATTGAACATATTTGATGGACAAATCCAAAGGTGACCTTGTCGAGAGGCTTATAGCTCAAAAAAAAAAAAAACCCTTAAGTTGTCATAAGCTGCAAGACACTGATTCTCTTCTAACAAGTTGGGGTTCGATTGAATCAGAAGACTTGCTTTACAAAATGACAGTGAGATGCATGAACATCGAAAACAGAAAGAAAACCCAATTGAAAAAAAGATAAAGGAGTCCACCACTGTCCATCTCAAAGAAAACTCCACCGTCGGTCAATCAATCCCACGCCACGTAGCGAAAGTGTCCCCACTCCAATTTGCCCCGTCAAAAAGGGCGTTCATCACATCACAGCACAGGCTTCTGACACTTGTCAAATCGACACGTCCCACTGTCTCTGTCTCTGTCTCTCTCTTTCTTTCTTTTTCTTTGGTTGATCTGTTTTGATTTGAGACGATGCAATGGTCAGTTTATAACATAAAGATAATTTGCACGCATAATAATAAGAGTGGACTACTACCGAGTCCCCTAGGATTGCTGCTGCTTGTTCTGTTCTTGTTTTTAGTGTTGCGCAGTCTTTAACCGTTGAATTTCAATGCTTCTAGGGTTTACCGAGTCCCACCAAGTTCTTGGTAGCTTCTCACCCTTTTGGGTGGTGGGTCTGCGTTATAATACTTCCTGGCACCTTCGCGCCCGCAGACTCTCGAGAGTGCGAACCCGTCAAGCAAAGCAGCTCCAACCCTCGTTTCATCACATGTTCTTTTAATATTTCTACGTTTTTATCATTTAAAATTGATGGTTATACTCTCCAAGAACGAGTTATCAAAACGTGTCTCAGTTTTTTTTCCAAGTCCACGCAGTCCAATTTCTTCCAACTTCTTGGCCAAACCTTGTGGTTCACTGTTGACTCGGTGAATCACGAGTGCTTGAAATTGAATGAACTTGGTTCTCTAATCATCATTACTGGATAAGCTATGGCTGAATGTTGATAATTTCTGGTCAAAACTTGCATGCTCTTGGTTACCGTATGAGTAGTATGCTCAATATTGTACGCGGGGTCTTATGTTTTGGCCTTCTCTCAGATTACAATACCTCAAGCCAATCTTTCCACACTGCTAATTAGGTCTGTCTTGGCTGAAAATTGATCACATCACTTTCACCCATCACCATCTGACACCTTCGAAGTTCCTTCAGCATCCAAAGGCTAAAAAAAAAAAAAAAAATCCAAAGGCTGCTTAACCACTTGGCCTTCCTTGCATTAGTTTAATCCTTTCATCAGAAAATGTCACTTTATATTTTCCTGTGACAAATCCAAGACATAGCGGCGATTATACTGCGCGAAAATTTTCTCGTGCCGCACTATCTCTGAGAATCTGTCAAGCACGTTAAGAAAACAAGCAAAAGTACCGATAAAGAAGCGAATATCTTACATTGGCTTACCAGAAGTTTCATGTAATTACAAGCCACTGTTATCATGACACAGGGCAGTCATAGTACAAGTCGTGCAGTCTTCTTCACAACGTAGCACTGATTCTATTGCAGAGAAGTGACTTCTCTTTCTCAGATGCTAACAGAAGTTCTGCGGCTAGAGGTAGGCGGACCCTATAAATATCTCCACTCTCCACTAGCTAGGCATCTATCTTTCTTTTTTTTTTTGTTGCTAAAACAGGCATCTATCTTGCTTAACACTGTAGTCAAGTGTACAAACTTTACATGACCGAACGCTCGATGTTGCAATTGCGTTGTGCTTTCCGGATCCACAAGCTTCGAATGATAGTGGAAGGGGCTGCAAGGGAAATGGTATCATAAGGATAGACAAAATAAGAAAGGTAGATAGACAGTCTGAAAGATTTGAAGAATCTATTTTTCCCCCTTTTCTTTTGTGTGATGAGCATAAGAGAACGTATTCCATGTATGCACTGACAAAATAGCAGTACTATGCGTGGGCTTAGTGTAAGAAGTCCAGTGCATATCTCACTTCCAGTGGTTTAGGATTGATGCTTGAGAACTATAGTGGCCCATTTCACCAAAATACAGACCCAATGGGAAACAAGTACCAATTATATCATGCGCAAACTGTAGTAAGAAAATCATGACGAAAGATGCTTGGAAGATAAGGACTTCACACAGGCATCTCATACATTACACCAAACTGAAAAATCGAAGCAGGCAGTTTATAGCGCATATTCAGTGAATACTTGCTCGTTTGGCATTAACCAGTTTAAATGCTCAAGAGTTGGTGGAAGGCAATTTGAGAAGAAGGAAAAGCTAGTGTAGCAATCCATCTAGCAAAAATGTCAGCTACGTCACTTGAGAGCACCACAGACACGGTGAATCAACAACCTGGTGAAGATAATGAAGTCTCGAAAGCAAACCAATGTGACCCAGTTCTTCTATTCTGAAACATTCATTCAGGTCATGGTCACTGCAGAATGGAATCAGCAAGAAAGAGAGACAGACACATTGGCCCAACGCTTGGCACTATCGTTTTGCCTCTTTAATTTGCTTTCCCAGGGGAGGTTTGAAATGTCGGGCATTTTAAGAGAAATCCCAAGCTAGTTTGTGAAGTTTGCCGCTGTCATTCTGCATTTCAGTTGCAACAGCAGGGGGATAATTAAGGCAACGGAGACATTTTCTAGCCTCGTTGCTTATCACAAAGATTGTCATGAAAGATGAACCAGCATATTTTTTCAGCTTGGTGGTACCTCGTGTGACAAGGATCACGCATGCTTCTGGGCATAATAAGCAAATGCTGGTATACCGATCCATGATTTGATCTTGTTTCCTCAACTAAGTTGCAAAAATATGAAATTCGAGTAGAACAAATGGACATGCAGTCGTTCAGTCACAAGCAGTCTCCATGTGTCTCCATGTCTATACATAAGAAGAGCCAGACTCTACTATTTCACTTAAAATGACATTTCATAGCATAGCATTGCTGGTTGAATTGTCACCCGCTTTTCATTTGTTTTCGTGGTTAAATCGTGCCTTTTTCTTCGAACAGTGACAGATATCAAAATCCAGATGTTCTGCTTAAGATCAGAATCGCATTATTCTACCTAAAGCATATAGTTGAATAGAGTCACCCGGCAAGGCCAATTATTAGCTGCCCAAGAAAATCATTTCCAAGAGCATTGACTGGAGCAATCTTTATGAGCCTAAAAAGCCATTTCTCAAAATATTTACAACAGACCATGGCATTATCCATCCTTCCACGTAATACGACTCAAAAACGTCCCTCAAAAACCCCTGATGGTGTCCCCAAGATTTCACCCGAGTTTAAGCACTTAGCTCACTGTCATTGTTCCCATGCCACGTCTTCTACATCGCATTCGATTAAAGCTGCTAGAGCAAGCAATATTTTTTTTTTAGACGCAGAGCACCGAGACTTTGGCCTCCTGGGTACATATGGTGCCACAGAGAACATCAAAGCAAAAGAATAAGAAAAAGTAAGGATGGAGAAGACACTCACTGCATTACCCACGCAGGAAAAATAAAACCCACTTATGGATTGAACAGATATCTGATACTTCTCCCGTTTTTCCCATTCAAGCCTAATGTTATGTGTCCACGATGATGATGGGGCACACAGCCTCAGAGGAAAGAAAGAACCAAAAAAACGTGCATTAGTAGTGCCCAAAGCCATATCTAATCTTTACCCACTCTTGAAAATGTCCAATAGCTGAAATAGCCGAAAAGATTCAAAGTCCAATTCTTACAGAAACATATCCCACCACAGAATTTAACCAAGAATAGCGAAAAACACCAGTAAGCCCCCACCTTGAATAAAGAAACCCCATGCCTTCTAACTTAACTAACATCTAAGCACATAGCATTGCACGGACAAAAGCCAACTGTTTTGTTATTTTTTTCCCTTCGCGCTAAGCACAATTGAGGCTTGGCACTTGGCAGCGACAGGAATAGATCAAATATAGATAACAGACTGTCCTTTACTGGCATTGCTGCATGCATTAAGCATGAAACGACGACATCAAGATCGAGAAGAGACATTGATACTGTAAGTTTCTGAAGCTCAACTCTACACGACGAGAAAAGAAAATATTGGGCGATCCTGGACTGCCACGCAGGCCATGTTTTTGTCTCCTAGTTGATTGACACGTGTCTAAATGGGACCCACTTTCGGAGGACACCCGCCATCTCCTACGCCAGGCCCAACCTTTTCTTCTCTTCCACTTAACTTTTCTCCTCCAGTCCTCGTCGTATCAAAATCAATAACTACACACAATGAAAGGACCCAAGAACCAATAATAAGCAGCTAAGGCAAGAGGGAATAAAACGAAGAAAAAGATGGAAAAGAACAGGCAACTATAAGATGATCAGAATGGAGGTGGAGGTGGAGGTGGAGGTGGAGGTGAAACTTGGTGACGCAGCCCCTGATTGTGGGTCAAAATGAAAGGGTGCCTCAGAAGCTGGTTGGCGGTCCACCGCTGGGCCGGGTCGCGCTGTAGGCAGCACGAGATGAAGTCCCGGAACTCGTGGGAGGCAGAGGCGGGGGCCTCGGGGGGTTCGGACATGCAGATGGCGCACATGAGGCTGGCCCAGTCGCCCTGGTGGCCGACGGCAAAGGGTAAGTGGCCGAGGTAGAACTGGAGGATGCTGATGCCGAAGCTCCAGATGTCGCCGGCGTAGCCGTCGTAGTTGCCGTGGTTGAGGTCGGTGTTGATGTGTTAGGGGCTCATGGAGGCGATGGTGCTGACCAAGGAGTTGGGGTCCATAATATAGTAGAGGAAGCGGCTCATGCCGAAGTCGGCGATCGTGACCTGTTTGCTCGAGTTCACGAGGAGGTTCGAGGGCTTGATGTCGCGGTGTACGATTTTGCGGCGGTGAAGGTAAGCGAGGCAGCTCAGGATCTGGTGGGTCAGGTGGCTGAGGTGGCTCTCGTTGCCGACGTGGATGCCCTCCAGCGACCCGCCGTCCATGAACTCCAGCAGCACCTGGATCTCGCCGTTGTGGACGTACATGTCGTGGCACTTCACCACGTTTGGATTGTCCACGTCCAGGAAAATCTCGATCTCCCGGCAAATCTGGCGGCGCACCACCTCCTCGTGGTGGTCGTGGATGACCTTGAGCGCATAGAGCCGCCCCGTCGGCTGGTGGATTACCTTGTACACCGTCCCACCGTTGCCGCTCCCGATCCGACTCACCCGCTCCAGCTCTGAGAAGTGCATCTGGTGCTGCTGCTGCCGCCCCACTGCCGCCGGAGGGAAGACGCTGCAGACGCAGTTGCCGGTGCTGTTGTTACCGCTGTGGTGGCGGCAGCTCGTGGATGGCGCCGAGTTGGAGGGCAGGGAGGGGAGGGGGACGGCTGAGGGACCAAGTTCTTGAACGCTTCTTTGGTTTACTGAGTCCATCATGCTCTGTTTTCTTTGGTTTTTGTTGGAAATTATGATCCATTTTCTCTAAAACTAAACTGAGGAACTACTATTTTGAATCTTGAAGACTGGCGTGGAGAAGAAGCAAATTGGAGTCAAAAGAAAATATGTTAAACGTTGTCTAGAATCGTTGAAAATGGCGGTGGCTACAGCGTTCTAGAAGAATCCAGATTGAGAAGCTGTCAAAGATCGAGCTCAATTATGGCTGCTGAAGAAAATCATCAAGAACGTGGAAAGCAAGGAGTCATTCATCTAAGAGAGTTTGGGGGAGATGAGCTTAAAAGTACATATCCTATGCTCCTCCACCAACACCTCCTCAAACTATCGTAAAATCATTTCTATAAATTAATCTATCGTTGTCCCATCTCCTAATTAATATCCTATTCTAGTCCATTCCTCTATATTAACTAGACCATACTCACATATACTTGCACACATCAAAATACAAATTTTCATTGATATCAAAATCATCCTTTCGTGCAATCTATAATTTAACAGTTTTGCGATCTTAAACCGTTGAATTCGAATGCTTCTTGGGTTTACTGAGTCCCACCAAGTTTTTGGGTGGTGTGTCCCTGTCACAAAATTTTCCAGGCACCTTCATGCCCTGAGACTCGATAGAGTGAGAACAACACACACCCCATCAAGCAAAGCAGCTCCAAACCTCATCTCATCACATGTTCTTTTCATACATTTTTTGATTTGTCATTTAAAATTGATGATGATTATGCTCACGAAGAACAAGCAAGCTATCAAAATGTGTTTCGGTTCTTACTCCAAGTCCACGCAGTCCAATTTCTCCCAACTTCTTGACCAAACCTTGTTGGTTCACTGTTGACTCAGCGAATCAGGAGTGCTTAAAACTTGCATGCTCTTGGTTGCCGGACGAGTAAAACATCGGATATTCCGCATTTCAGTTGCATCAGCAGGGTGATAATTAAGGCAACGGAGACATTTTCTAGCCTTGTTGCTTATCACAAAGATTGTCATGAAAGATGAACCAGCATATTTTTCAGCTTGGGGGTACCTCGTGTGACAAGGATCGCACATGTTCCTAGGAATAAGCAAATGCTGGTAAACCGATCCATGATTTGATCTTGTTTCCTCAACTAAGTTGCAAAAAATATGAAGTTCGAGTAGAACAAATGGACATGCAGTCGTTCAGTCACAACCAGTCTCCATGTCTATACATAAGAAGAGCCAGACTCCACTATCTCACTTAAAATGGCATTTCATAGCATAGCATTGCTGGTTGAATTGTCACCCGCTTTTCATTTGTTTTCATGGTTAAATCGTGTCTTTTTCTTCGAACACTGACAGATATCAATACCCAAATGTTTTGCTTAAGATCAGAATCACATTATTCTGCCTAAAGCATATAGTAGAATAGAGTCACTCGGTAAGGCAAATTATTAGCTGCCAAAGAAAATCATTTCCAACAGGGATTGACTTGAGCAATCTTTATGAGCCTAAAAAGCCATTTCTCATTTACAACAGGCCAGGGCATCATCCATCCTTCCACGTGATACAACTCAAAAACATCCCTCAAGAACCACTGATGGTGTCCCCAAGATTTCACCCGAGTTTCAGTACTTAGCTCACTGTCATTATTCCCATGCCACGTCTTCTACAAGGCATTCGATTAAAGCTGTTAGAGCAAGCAAGATTTTTTTTTTAGACGCAGAGCACCGAGACTTTGGCCTCCTGGGTACATATGGTGCCACAGAGAACATCAAAGCAAAAGAATAAGAAAAAGTAAGGATGGAGAAGACACTCACAGCATTACCCACGCAGGAAGAATAAAACCCACTTGTGGATTGAAGAGAATCTCTGATACTTCTCCCTTTTTTCCCATCCAAGCCTTACGTGATCTGTCCATGATGATTATTGGGCCCGCAGCCTCAGAGGAAAGAAAGAACCGAAAAAAACGTGCATTAATAGGGTCCAAAGCCATATCTAATCTTTACCGACTTGCTAGAGTAATTAAATATTAAACTACACATTCATCTAACGATTTAAGCTTTTAGAACAGTTGGTAACGGTTTAAGCTTTTAGAACAGTTGGCAGTGATCCCACAAAAAATCTCACATAACATCAGAGCCAGAAAATCTGAGTTCAAATCTTTCGGGACCCTATTTGTTTCTCCAATTAATATGTTCACGCTTTGTACTAGGTAAATAGATCAAACTAAACGTATAAATATTAAACTAAGCCTTTATCTAACAACTTTTAAATAGTTGGCAGTGGTCCCACCAAATTTAATTAAGAATTCAAAGTCCAATAAGCAGATAGCAATGCATGGTCAGAAGCCAACCTTTTTGCTATTTTTTCCCTTCGCACTAAGCACAATCGAGGCTTGGCACTTGGCAGCGACAGGAAAAGAACAAATATAGATAACAGATTGTCCTTTGCTGTTAAGCATTGCTGCATGCATTCATTACGAAAGGAGGACGTCAAGATCGAAGAGACATTGATACTTCAAGTTTCTGAAACTCAACTTTACACGACGAGAAAATAAAATATTGGGCGATCCTGGACTGCCACGCAGGCCATGTTCTTGTCTCCTAGTTGATTGACGCGTGTCTTAAATGGGACCCATTGTCGGAGGACACCCGCCGCCACCATCTGCGGCAGGCCCAACCTCTTCTTCTCTCCCACTTAACCAGGCATCACATCAAAATGGGAAAAAATCATCAAAAACCCTAAACTTTGTCATTTATGACATATTTATCCCGAATTTTTTTTTGTGACATCAAAAACTTCGAACTTTGCTTTTTGTGATACAATTACCCAAATATATTTAGTCAATAGGCATTTTCGTCTTTTTTGCTTTTTTTTTCTTTCCGGCGAGGGGGGGCCTTGCCGGCGTCGGGCGAGGGCTACCCTCGCCGGATCCGGCGAGGGGGGCCCTTGCTAGCGTCGAGCGAGGGCGGCTCTCGCCAGATCCGGCGAGGGCGGCCCTCGCCGGCGTCGGGCGAGGTTCGCCCTCGCTCGGGCGAGCGAGGGCGGCCCTCGCCCGACTCAGGTGAGGTCGACCCTCGCCCGACGCCGACAAGGGTCGACCTCGCTGAGTCGGGCGAGGTCGACCCTCGTCGGCGTCGGGCGAGGGCCGCCCTCGCTCGACTCAAGCGAGGGTCGACCTCGCCGGAGTCGCGGGTGAGGTCGCCCTCGCCCGATCTGGCGAGGTCGGCCCTCGCCTCGCCCCGATCTGGCGAGGTCGGCCCTCGCCTCGCCCGACTGGGCGAGGTCGGCCCTCGCCCGATCTGGCGAGGTCGACCCTCGCCGGCGTCGGGCAAGGGCCACCCTCGCTCGCCCGCGAGGGCGACCCTCGCCCGACGCCCGCCGCCCTCGCTCGGCCGCCGGCGAGGGTCGGACCTCGCCCGGATCGGGCGAGGGCCGCCCTCGCCCGGCGGCGAGGGTCGCCCTCGCCCGGGCGAGCGAGGGCGGCCCTCGCCGACGCCGAGGGTCGACCTCGCCAGATCGGGCGAGGGCCGCCTCGCTCGTCCGTGCGAGGGCGACCCTCGCTGAGTCGGGCGAGGGTCTGGACCTCGCCGGCGTCGGCGAGGTCCGCCCGAGGGCCGCCCTCGCCGGCGTTGGGCGAGGGCCGCCTTCGCTCGCCCAGGAGAGGGCGAACCTCGCCGGCGTCGGGCGAGGGTGGCCCTCTCCAGATCGGGCGAGGGCGACCCTCACCCGACGTCGGCGAGGGCGGCCCTCGTCGAGATCTCGCCGACGCCGGCGAGGTTCGCCCTCTCTGGGCGAGCGAGGGCGGCCCTCGCCCGACTCGGGCGAGGTCGACCCTCGCCCGACGCCGGCGAGGGTCGACCTCGCCCGAGTCGGGCGAGGCCGCCCTCTCGCTCGCCCGTGCGAGGGCGAACCTCGCCCGACGCCGGCGAGGGCCGCCCTAGCTGGATCTGGCGAGGACCGCCCTCGTTCGACGCCGGCGAGGGCCCCCCTCGCCGGATCCGGCGAGGGCAGCTCTCGCCTGATGCCGGCGAGGCCCCCATTGCCTGAAAGGAAAAAAAAAGAAAAAGCAAAAAAGACGAAAATGCCCATGGACTAAATACATTGGAGTAAATGTGTCACAAAAAGTAAAGTTCGGGATTTTTTATGTCACAAAAAAAAATTCGAGGTAAATGTGTCACAGATGATAAAGTTTAGGGTTTTTGGTGGTTTTTTCCCTATCAAAATCAATAACTACACACAGCGAAACGACCCAAGAACCAATAATAAGCAACTAAGGCAAGAGAGAATAAAACGAAGAAAAAGATGGAAAAGAACCGGCAACTAAGATGATGAGAATGAAGGTGGAGGTGGAGGTGGAACTTGGTGACGCAGCCCCTGATTGTGGTTCAAAATGAAAGGGTGCCTCAGAAGCTGGTTGGCGGTCCTCCGCCGGGCCGGATCGTGCTGTAGGCAGCACGCGATGAAGTCCCGGAACTCTCGGGAAGATGAGGCGGGGGCCTCGGGGGGTTCGGACATGCAGATGGCGCACACGAGGCTGGCCCCTGGTAGCTGACGGCGAAGGGTGAATGGCCGAGGTAGAACTGCAGGATGCTGACGCCGAAGCTCCAGATGTCGCCGGCGTAGCCGTCGTAGTTGCCGTGGTTGAGGTCGGTGTTGATTCGCTCGGGGCTCATGTAGGCGATGGTGCCAACGTAGGAGTTGCAGGGGTCCATGGTCTGGGAGAGGATGCGGCTGACGCCGAAGTCGGCGATCTTGACCTGCTTGCGCGAGTTCACGAGGAGGTTCGACGGCTTGATGTCGCGGTGGACGATTTTGCGGCGGTGGAGGTAAGCGAGGCCACTCAGGATCTGGTGGGTCAGGTGGCTGAGGTGGCTCTCGTTGCCGACGTGGATGCCCTCCAGCGACCCGCAGTCCATGAACTCCAGCAGCACCTGGATCTCGCCGCCGTGGTCGTACACGTCGTGGCACTTCACCACGTTCGAATTGTCCACGTCCAGGAAAATCTCGATCTCCCGGCAAATCTGGCGGCGCACCGCCTCCTCGTGGTGGTCGTGGATGACCTTGAGCGCATAGAGCCGCCCCGTCGGCTGGTGGATTACCTTGTACACCGTCCCGCCACTGCCGCTCCCGATCCGGCTCACCCGCTCCAGCTCCGAGAAGTGCATCTGGTGCTGCTGCTGCTGCGCCGCCGCTGGATGGAAGACGTTGCCGATGCCGTTGCCGGTGCTGCTGTTGCCACGGTGGTGGCGGCTCGCGGACGGTCCCGAGTTGGAGGGTGGAAGGGGGACGGCGAGGGCAGGGTGGCGCCGAGGGACCAAGTCTACCAAGTTCTGTTTCTTTTGGTTTTGTCAGTCTTTAACCTTTGAGTTTGAATGCTTCTTGGGTTTTTACCAAGTCCACCAGGTTCTTTGGAGAAGTCCGTTGTTTTGTTGGCTTGTTCTTGGAGAGCATAATCATTATCAATTTTAAATGACAAATAAGAAATGTATGAAAAGAACATGCGATGAGATGGGGATTGGACATGCTTTGCTTGATGGGTGTGTTGTTCTTACTCTCTCGAGTCTCAGGGCATGAAGGTGCCAGGAAATTTTGTGACACAGACGCACCACCAGCTCCAATCCTCATCTCATCGCTTGTTCTTTTCATACATTTCTTATTTGTCATTTATAATTGATGATCGTGGTCTCCAAGAACAAGTTATTAAAACGTGTTACAGTTTTTTTCCAACTCCATTCAGTCCAATTTCTTTCTACTTCTTGACCAAACCTTGTGTTACTGTACGAGTAAAACATCGGATTTTGGAGAAGTCGTGTGTTTCCTACGCTCAATATTTGTATGCTGGGTCTTATGTTTTGACCTTCTATAAGGCCAATCTTTCTACCCCCACAGCTAAATTAGGTCTCACTTGGCTGAAAACATAGCACTGCATCAATCACCATAAGACACCTTGAAAATTCTCACAACATCTAAAAGCTGCTCGAGCACTTGACCTTCTTTTCATTAGTATAATCCCTTCAGCAGAGAATGTCACTTTCTATTTGTGTGAAAATCTATCTGAGACATAGCAGTGATTACACTGCAAAAATTTGCCCGGGTCACAATCTATCTTTAGGAATCTGTCGAGCACGTTATGAGAACAACCAAAAGCAGCAACCAATAAGCAAGGATCATAAGTTTCATGTAATTACAAGCCACTGTTATAATCATACAGAGCAGGTTTTTTTTTGCTAAAATCATACAGAGCAGTTGCAGTACCAAGTTGCAGAGTCTTCTTCACAACCTGGCACTGATTGCATCGCAGAGAAGTGACTTCTCTTTCTCAGGTGCCAACATAAGGTCCGCAGCTAGAGGCAGGTGGACCATATGAATATCTCCACTCTCCACAAGCTAGGCATCTATCTTGCTTAACACTGTTATCAAGTGTACAAAATTTACATGACCAAACATTCGACGTTGTAACCTCGATGTGTTTTCGGGATCCACAAGCTTCGCATGATAATGCAAGAGGCTGCAAGAGAGATGGTATCATAAGGATAGAGAAAAGTAGAAATGTAGCATGACAGGCTGAAAGGCTTGCAATGAACCAACCCAAGCATGAAAATAGTTGTATTGCTATCTCACATACAGCGGCCCAATTAAAGATGAGCGGATAATGTGTTGCCGCCATATCAGACAACTAATCCAGGATCCACAAATGCAATTACAGAAATCAAAAAAAAATTACGAAGAAATAGTAAGGAAGGCTGAGCTAGACTCCCCTCCAGATTCCGTTATAGTTAGGACATGACAACCATTTTCTAGAGTGCACATCCTGGTAAGTCACTTAAGTACAATAAGAAACCAGCATAGCGCCTCATAAACCAAACCCAGAAATAACAATCTTAACGAAGCAAAATGACTTATATATTGCAAAGACACTTTCCATCATCCAAAAAAATGAGAGCAAACGAGTTATTTATTGATGGTTTTCATGAGTGACAATGCAGCTTATCAAACTTATGTGCCTGAGACAGGAGTCACGCGACCAACTTTGAAATGATGGCACTCCAGACTTTCTAAGCCTGCCTGATATTGTGATGCATGAGTGCAAATACTGTAAGGGAGAACAATTTACCTGATTTAATAAAGTGCAAGTATTACACTGCCACTTCACTTCATCATCCGCTGCTTCCAGAGAGGAAGTGGAATTGACACGTGAAGTTGTTGCAGAGATGCCAGCAAATGATGTGGATGCTTTTGACTTCTCAGGAAGTTCCAAGGAAGGTCCAACTCGTCCTTGGAAACCCTCCTGTCCCTCTGCAGATTTGGATCCACACCATAGTTCATCGCGCAATCTCCTTTCTGCTGCCATCGCAGCAGCTTGTATGGGGCTAAGAGCATTCCTAATATCACTATCACCCCCTATACGCCTAGGCCCTGATGGTAGTAGAGCTCCACGTCTTGCTCTGTTTTCTGCAGCAGCTAGAGCAGTTTGGCGTAATGATGATGGTGGAGGCTGTCGGGAGAACCCACCTAAACGTCTCCCTGGAAGATCAAAACCTTGACCAGTTCCTGTAATTCCTTTAGCCATCAGCTCCTCACACTCCTGCAAAGGAAAATCAGCAGAGTCAGGGAATGACAGGACAAACATATGGTGTTGAAGAATCCAGATCAATCTAACAATAAAGTAACCGTACAGTTATCAAATCTATCTCTTCTGGAGATAATCACAAGATCGTATGTTAGGACCGTGTGAAGCATCTCAAAGGTGGAAAGATAGAGAGAGGCTGAACAACAAATGAACGCCCGACAAAGCCTTGGTGTCAATTATTTCTCTACTCAGTTCATGCTCTTCTTGTAGTGATAGGTAATTGTCATAAAGGAACGCTGGTTGTCCTGGCAAGAAACAACCAGGGCCACCTAATCAAAGCCTTGATCAAGAAGGCCAAAAGCTTAACACCCATCCAGGCAGAGGCCAAAAGTTACTGCTTGCACTAGGATTGGCCAAAATGCCCATCCTAGGGTGATGTAATAGAGGGTGACAGCAAGCTCCGGTGGATCCTATATCAAGTGAGGAAAACAAGGATTGGCACATTTTGACATGTGTACATGAATCAAGGAGCTGCTTCACCGAATTCCCAAATCGCTGACTGCTAAAACAAGTGTATGCCTAGGGAAGCAATGGGGCAGCTCATTCCATGACAGCTTGGTCTTCTAGAGTCGCCATAGTTTTGGACCCCTTTTTAGTTGCCAATATGCTTTCTGAGGTCTCGAAATGCTTACTGTTTGATTTTATATGCAGGCATTCAACCTCCTCAAAGCAAAGCTATGTTTTGGATGGTTAAATGCAGTTACATTTGCTAACAAAAGAGAAACGAGAGTGGGGTTATGGCCTTTATAAATCATATACGTGCAGATTCATCAAACTCGGACAAAATGCAGCAGATACCGTGCTAACTCCCAAGTGTACAATATGTGAGTGGTCATAGCTTGGTAGTCATCACACTACCAACGTTCATCCCATAAGATTTTGGAGCATGTAAAAGTTACCTTTCTGATTTCGTCCAAAAGATTGTAGAAGTCAGTATTATGTGGACCATATTCAATGTGACAGAGCTCATGCAGCATTGTATCAAGAATCTGCTCATAAGGGAAGAAATCCCACTCGTTGTTTGGTCTTCTTAGCCGGAGCTTAATCTCTGCTCCTCCACCTATGTTCAGTCCCAGAAGAGATGGATTGGGAGGACTGAAAATTCAGAGTTTACCGAGAGGATCAAGAATAATTTAATAAGAAAGCAATCTTACATGAATAACACAAAACAATATATATATATTAGAAAAATAGAGTGTGAGGAGACAATGAAAAACCAGCATACCAAAATTCAGAAAGAATCTCCACTTTCCATTTACGTTTTCGCATTATTGGCTGAACTTGTTTTGCAACTTTCTCAAGAACCTTTCTAGCATCTTCTTCTCCAATCTTCTTCAGAGGCTTGATTTCCCAAACCTTGTTAAGATCATTAAGATCCATAATGGAGCAAAATCTGTCTTCACAAAGTAAACGGAAAGATTATGCACTGCAAAAAGTGACAGAAGAGTCCTGAATTTCATTACTACCATAAGCCGTAGACTGACTATACAAGAAAAAAATGACAGTTTCCATATGGAATACAATATGCAAATTCAAGCAGATTACAGAATTAATATAGATAGAAGGCTCTTGAATTCAACTGCCATTAGATTTAGTAAGTCCATCTTTCTTTTCTGCGAGCCTGGTACTTCAATAACATTAACATGTTTAATGGTGAAATATAAGAACTAGCTTTTAAGCAAAACAATTAAAGCAGAAAAAGGAAAGGACAGAGAGTAAGCATTGCAAACCTCTCAGCCCACTTCAATAAAAACAATACTATGAAGATTTATGATATCAGTGCTATATATTTATATATATCCAGTCCCACATAATGAGGGCTAAAATCTCAGAAATCCAAAAGTGCCATGCATAAGCTTCAAGAGTTCTTTTCACCATGGCATCATAGATGTGCTAATAAAGAAGACTGACAGCAAATCACCTAAACTGGGCACATCAACAGTGACTTTATGCGCAGCGTGAAGAGGTGCTATACACCCGTTAAAAGTGGTTAGTACATTCTTTGTGTTGGTGAATTAATGTGAAAAGTGGTGACTTATTATCAACACAACGAACACGTTTACCGCATTTTAAGTGGGTGTACCACCAGGGAAATTGTGCGCAACGCCATGAAAAAACCGTGTCTATAACTCATATTTTCAATAAAGACATGTCAAATATCAAATTTTTAACGGCCTTCAATACTGCGCTTGTATTCAATTTTGGGACAAATGCTCAACTGCATTTTGTCACCATATGGGTGCTTACATAGACATCCATATCTATGTTAATATCTACTTATCTATCTACCGACCTTGTGTATATTGTACCCGTGAGCACATTTGCACTGGCGCACCCCACACACCCACTTGAAATTTTTCCTTAGCTCTTAAGTATATCGGCTGCATCTTTCTCTCACCGGTATCAGCAAATTCAAAAGTTTTCCCAGCTTTAATCAAGCGCCTACTGAATAAAGCGCCGAGCTTTTCACGGTGGATTGTGGCATTATGAGTCTATGACACTACGACCACACAAACGATGAACTATCCTACGCAACAGCTCCATAAGAGCTCTGTTGTCACTACTCCAAAGAGTCTCTCAACTCCTCCCGATCATGTCGATACCGAATCACCTCCGCTAGCGGAGTTTTAACGTACCACTCCACGAAGAAATTATCCCAAGAAGCACGCGGTGTCGATTTCGCAACACCCATGGGAAAGCAGAGGGCTTTCCGAAGAGGGTATCATCCAAATCGCAGATGATGAACGAAAAAAACCAAAATCGATGAACCCCATGTATCTTTCGAATGCATAAACGGGCCCCAACAAGAAAATCAGCAGTCGCATGTTGACTGGCGCTGTTGAAGCATCAGCAAGAACTCCCGCTATTCGCATGCACAAAGAGAGAGAGAGAGAGAGAGAGAGACGTACCTCCACCGAGGAGTGCTGATGGGCTTGGAGAGAGGGAAAGGAAGCCAATCGGACAGCGATCATTGATCGTCCCCTGTTTTGGTTCTGTGGTTCTTTTTCTTTTCTTCTTTGGGAAGAAACCCAGTTTTCGGATGCTTCTGTGCTGACCGCTGAACTCTTTGTAGCATTTTTTCGCAAAGAGAAAAAGAGAATTATTATAATCATTATCATTGTCGTTGTCGTTATTGTTATTGTTATTGTAATTGTTATTAATGTCGGGACGGATCAATCTATAATTACCTCGTTTATTATCTTGGATAATCTTGTTTTCGTTGTGCCTCTTCAGTTCTTCATTGTCATAGGAGAGGATTTGATTTCCATTCCATATCTAGTCGTATATGTTATCACGCATCATTTTTTCATGCACATCGAGCAACCTCATGGGAATCCTAACGTTAAGCTGAAAGAAAGTCTTTTGACATTTCCTTATGCCGGTACTTCCATGTAGCCTTTAAACATTCTTTTCGATTAATTATAAGAGGCGATGGCATGTTTCACACAGAAAACACACGATTATGGAGAATTAGTCATCTGGCACCTGATAATACGATAATTCGCTCCATACTATGATATTACATTCTTGGTTGTTCTGAACTAAAGACTATAATTTCATTCCACAACACTATCAAGCCCCTTGCTTTCGCTCTAGGATTTAATCACGAAGCAGTTTTGAAAATTTAACCTATGCTTCAAGCATGGCACTGCTGGTTCTTGAATTTGTCTCCATGAGAAATAGTACATTGGGCCTTTCTTGAGGCACTAAGGCTCGTATTGCATGAGTTGTAAAGGTGTGCATCGGTCCCAATCCAACTCGAGAACCGGCCTAGACCAATTGGTTCTGGGTGGTTGGAATCAGTCTGGTACTTGGTTATTGGGAAGGAACTATACTTATCGGACCAGATCGGACCGAACTGGTAGAATAGGCCCAAAGTATGTTTTAAATAGCATAAACCATAAAAATAAATAAATAAATAAAATGTTCAAGCCAGTCCAATTCTAGGGTAGATAGGGTCGATTCCTGCCTCCATAGACTGGGAACCAATCCTGTCCGATCTGAGTCACAGTTCTAGCGTGGGAATTAATCACCCCTAATGAGTTATCAGAAGCATGCACAATCCCTGACAAATCCAGTATGAAAAAATCTTCATTGGTACAGTAGTGGCTTATTAGCGTTAGCCACCATAGTCCATTCTCTTAAAGTATCTCGTATCTAAATTGGCGTAACCAATAACAAAGTATCATCAAGTGTAGTGGGAGTGCACGCCTGAGATGCATAAGGATTAAGTCTCCTCATTTTATTTTTGTTGACTAGGGATTTATTGCTTTTCTGCTCTTTCTTCTGAGTTCCGGATCTAGAATCTAATGTTTTGTTTCGTATTGTCAAGAGTTTCTGGAATAATTTCACAAAAAATCTTCCAGAAAGGGCTGAATTCTTGCACTTCAGCTCTAAGCCATTGCCCAAAGCATCCCTCACTGTCAACGGCTGTCTGTTCTCTTCGCGAGGGACTTCCTCAAAGTATTTGGCGTGATGCCAACAAATTCATACTGACTTTTTGCTCTCCCAATTTTGACAGCTGAAAATCTCTTGGCATCCACCTTCACATCAGAAACCGTCCCTAGATTGCTGGCCATCCTTCTAATTGCTTCCTCTGAAAACATATTCACGAGGGAGACCATGTATCTGAACCTAAAGAGCACAGTGAGAATTCGTAGCATTTGGGTGGACTATCAGGTTTGCAATGCTTGAGAAGCAACAAATGACTAGCAAAAGACGAAAGACCCGGTATCAAGGCACTCTGTTCTTTTCTATTTCAGTTCTAAATGTAAACGCAAATGTCGTTTCGCCATGCTTTCTTCATTGTTTTCTAAAATGCTTGAAAGGATATGCTAGGATTGGAGTACAGCCGCCCAAGGAGTGTGAGGCGACACTCAGTTTTTCAATAGATTCGACACCATCCATAAGTGGTATATATTCCTTATCTGACCAAAGACTGCCAAATTTTTGGCAGAGAACACTAATTCGAGCTTCTGCAATGTCCCCGGTCTCCATCAGTGAGCTTCAGACCAGAGTAATGCGCAGCGACAGTTTTATGTAACGCAAAGGGTAGGAAGAGAAAAAGCACCCGAAAGACTAATAAAACATAAGATGGGTGGTTGAAGCCCGTGGTGGGTTGACGATGTAGACGGTAATGAACAATGGGGCACACTGAAACTTGCTGAAAGAAGACCAAACTCTCTAACGCAGGAAAAGGGATGAGAGGATTTTATTTCTATTTCATGTCAACTCCCATATGTTTTCCGGTAAATTTCTCTAATGCACACCAAACGATCTTCGTGGTAATTCCAACATTCTTGGCTTATTCTAATCTGAAGAGCGATAGCATTGTCCGACAATTCTCTAGTTAAAAGCTTTTTAAAGTTGGAAGGATTTAACGAGTTACCTTCCGAACAAAGTCATGTCTACCTAGAAGCTTTACCATTACTTTCACGGACTTTTTTCACCGAACGGAATTTCCGAAAGGGTCGATTGTCAAAATTCAGAGTTTGTGGGGGTAGAGCGTTAAAAGTTAAAAGTTCCTGGTAGAACTTCGCAATATAATATAGCTCAATTTGCTCTAAGTTAAAGTTTTGAGGAGGTAAATATATATAATCAAAAGATTGGAAAGCAGAATGTAAAATATGAAAAGTGAAGTCCTCGTTATTCTTGAGGGCTACAATCTAGACACGGTGTCACTCCGTCAAATTCCATAATGCTTCGCTATTTTCCAGCCCACAAGAAGTTGGAAGCTTTATGATGTTTTTTAAATCAATGAAGAGCATTACATTCTCAAACGATCCTTGCAAGCATCATCAAATCGACACTCATGCTTCTCCTGAACATAGGGAGTTGACTCAACAACAATGACAGCCAGGGTTGGAGATGAACCTCTGCATTTTTCCGATACACCAAAATTGTGCTGATTGTACTTTGCAGCACATTGATCGCGCACAGAGTGCACAAAATCATCCTCGGTTTCCTCATAAACCAAAGCAAGGGAAAATAATGTATAACAAGGTTCAGAACTCTTGGAACAACAAAGAAAACAAAATTGGAATCAAGTAACCTATGGAACTGTATAAAGCAACAGCATAAACATCCTTTCCTGCCAAGTACCATTTTGAACCACGTCGAAGACATCAATCCGCAACTCATGATGCAGAAACCTGACATGCCAGCAGGAACAAGAAAGCAACCGACAACAGATGCTGAGCAGACATTCACGGGAGATGAAAGAAACTCCCTGAAAGACAAATATTGCATATTGTTTAGCATCCACATCCACATAGGAAAATTTGAAGAACAAAGTAAACTGCCGAAGAACGTTAAACACCAACCTACAAAGAGGAAAGCCAGATATACTGAGTCTTGGTACTATTTTTGTTTACTGAACGACTTTGAAAAATGACATTGGATGCTTAAACAAGCGGCCGCCATAACAAGTCAATTTGCTTATTTAATCATTGGATCCAATATTTCAGTATCACTTAGTAAACAAGACTTGGTATATTTAGCATCTATAAAAAAAAAAAATAGACTATCTACTTCTATATTACATGAAAACAATGGCAATGACATCTAGAAATAGAGTAATAATCCTCCAAAATGCATTCAGAAAGCTTAATTCTACCTAAGACCTAAACTCTGAAAAAAATGCAAAATTATCATAATGTACCTGAGAATTATCGCCTTTGGGTTTTTCCAATCGAGCGCTTGCCAGAGAATAAGTGTTTTGGTTTGAGGGTAGGAATAACCCTGTCTGCCTCTCCCCGGCGAGCATTCTTGTTTCTCTTTTTGACAGATTTCTTTGCAATTTTTAAAGCTTTGACCTTTTGATCGGAATCCTTGAAACCTGCTCCAGGAACAAATTCAGCAGGTGCTCTGGAGACTGACCTAGACCGGGATGTAGACCTTGTTCGCAACTTCTTATTGGACCGATCTCCATCCACATCCATAGCATCACCACCATTATCACCCCTCTCAGGTGACCTCTCCCTCTTCCGGCCCCTTGATCTACTGCGGGCCCGCTCAATTGCCAAGCTGGGGTCCAGTCCCAAAGATGATAGCTGCCTGCCCATCCTTTTGGACGTGAATTCACGGCTTTTGTCAAACTTTCTTGGTACGGTTGGCCTACTCTCTGCTGTGCTTTTCTTGACCCTGTGCTGCTGTATGAGCATGCTTTTCTTCTTTCTGATCTCAGCCAATGCTTCTTGCTCTTCTGGTGTTAAGTCTTTCCCATCCATCTCGAAATCGTCATCATCCTCAGCCTGCCGCATTCCTTCCTCTCTTTCCAGCTCTTCAAGCCTCATTAGAATATCAGGATCTATAAAGTCAGCCACATTATGCCCATCAAGAATCTCTGGCAATATGTCTTCTTTCCACTCATCATCAGCTAAGATGTAGTTCTTCTTCAAACTAGCAGAGTATACACCTGCACCGCCGTTCTCATCCTCTAAATCCCTTTCAGTTTTCCTCTTCTCCTTTTCTGCTGCTTGAGCTCTAGCCTCCAATACTGCCTGAGGTATGCATGGCGGTCTTTCTTTTTGGTCGCGTGGCTTTGGTATTGCAACATGAAACCTGTTCAAACAGTCATTTATCTTCTTTGATTTCATCTTTATTTCCACTCTCTGATTCAATAACCTCTCGCAAGCCGCATTCTTTACAGCAATTACTCCGTCCTCTGTCAAAGTGCTCATAGTCAGCAACACTCCCCCATCATTTGTGGCCTCACCTCGTTGTCCTATAACGGTTTTCATAGCTTCAGCTTTCATATCCATAACCAACTTCATGTCCTCTTCTGAGAGACCCTCCAGTGGTTGCAGATCAGTCTTGTTGCAGACTATCATCAAGGGCTTGTTCATAAACAGAGATTTGATGCTATGAAAAAGAGCTGCTTGCTGGGCAATGCTGTAGCCACAAGACCCCGATATGTCCAAGAAAAACAAGACAGCAGAGCGCAGATGGGCCAAAGCAGTAATGCTGCACATCTCAATTATGTTACGGTCTTCAAAGGGACGGTCTAGAATCCCAGGAGTATCAATGACTTGATATCTGAGATATTTATAGTCGGTATG